TGTGTGTATATCCCTACAGCCTTGTGAATAAGAGATGTGATAGCAACATCAAGGTGTTTTCCCATTCTTCTAATTTAACTGGTAGCTCCGGTGAAAGTGCTAATAAGTAATGCACATAATAAAATGAATAATAATCACAATGGTAAAAATACCAGGATTTTAAAGCCAGGATTTAAAAGAGATATTAACCAACAGATCCAACCTACTCTGAAATAAGCAGCTTTTGGACAGTCAAGAATCACTCTAGCATTGTGAACTTTGTTTGGAAACCAAACCAAGTTTCAGCCCACCAATTTTGCATAGAACAGGAAGCTAGAAAGGGAGATGGAGAACAGGATATCCTGAATTCCAGACGTATGTGCTGCAGGCAAGTTTACAGGTGCAGAACCTAGCATATATGGAAGAATGGGAGATCTAGTGAATTAAGGCTTATTCAGTTCAAACTGGCATGTTGCAGGTTTTTCTGTGGTATGAAGGTCAAGCAGATGGTATGGCTGGGAAAGTTTAAGCGGCCTCCATTATAGATTCTATGTGTGCCCTTTTTCTGAGCATGTGGAGGAGAAACACTGAGAGCCAGTGTGGTGTAGTGGTTAAGAGCGGCAGTCTCGTAATCTGGGGAACCGGGTTCGTGTCTCCGCTCCTCCACATGCAGCTGCTGGGTGACCTTGGGCCAGTCACACTTCTTTGAAGTCTCTCAGCCCCACTCACCTCACAGAGTGTTTGTTGTGGGGGAGGAAGGGAAAGGAGAAAGTTAGCCGCTTGGAGACTCTGTAAAGGGAGTGAAAGGCGGGATATCAAATCCAAACTCTTCTTCTTCTTCTTCTCTCTGTGAACAATGCCTGAGATTTCTAAGGTTGCAGAGGAACAGAAGAAGACCTGGCATGCTTATCAAGAAGAATAACAGATTGGAGGGGTCAGACAATAACTGAGGGGGTTGAGGGTCACAATATCAGTTCAGAGGCAGGAAAAGTAACTGGGAAGACTTCTAGGTGTCTGCGACATCTCTCCAGAAGCAGTCAACTTAAGGAAGTTCTTGGACACTGAAAGATTATCTGGCAAGCTTCAGTGGCCCATCCTCAAACTATCCCCTTTCCTTTTTCCTTCTCTCCTTCGTTCCTCCCTTGCTCCATCTTTGAACCCCTAGTTTGCAGCAGAATGTTCTGGATCAAGTTACTTAACATATTTTTTTTGCAATACTTTTTTAAAACACACACAAACACACATCCATTTCTGCATAATTGAATCAATATGACATTTGCTGGTGTGTTCAGGACTGCGGTATCATCATGCAGAGGATGATGGGGGGGGTGTATCTCTATCAGTACAAGTTAAATATTCATTGCACTGGTCTGCTAGTGGCAGCTTTAAAGAAAATTTGGAAGCAATTGATGGGCAGTGGGTTTTTAAAAGCTGATTTTGGAGGTATCAAAGTGTTTTCATTGTTCAACCATCGATTTGCACAAAACCACACAGTGAATGCTATGGAATCATATATTATTGGTTTGTGGCTTGCAATTTAGAAGGGAGTAGAGTGTGGTGACACATTAATTATCTCTACTTCTTAGTGAAAGAATAGAGAATGCAGGACTGTCTCCACTGATTTTTCCACTAGCTGATATATAAAAGAGAGGACAAAAATGTAAGATATACAAAACTATGGGGAAATAATGAGGTTACATGCTTTCAAAATGTGATTTGTAAAGCTCTTTCCAATTTGGGGTTTGTGGGTATGGTGCTACAGGTATAAAAAAATGCTTTCCATCTCAGTAATCTTCATTGGCAGTTATACTGAATAGCTACTATTACGCATCATAGCCAGAAGTAATAGGTGGCAGCAGTACCAAATCATGTATTTGGCTAACAGTGAAGTCTTATGCATGTTGACTTAGAAGTAATTAATACTTATTCCCGTATTAGTAGGCAGAGGATTGCAGTTCTAACTTCTTTCCAAATTCAGCATTTATTAATATGGATGGAAATGGGCTTCTTTTAAGGCAAGAATGTGGAGTCTGGAGCCCTTTGGACATTGTTGGACTCTGGCACCCATCATCCCTAACTTGCCTGAGTCTCATCAACTTCATGAGTCTCAGACAAGTAGGGATGATGGGAGTTGGAGTGGAACCACCCCTAGGTGACCATAGTTGCTCGAGCCTCTCATCTAAAGCCTTCATTTAGCAGAATTGTTTGACCCTCTTCCTGTTTTGGAGCCTGGGTGATCTGGCACGACCATATGAGAAGCTGAAAGGTTGTCCTTGCAATCTTGATGCATCATCTGACATCAAGTACCTATAAAGGCTATAGTACAACTCATATAGTATCTGCTGCTTTGAACTGAATGACTATGGTAGCCGCTTACTGATTTCCTTTCGTACTAGTAGGAAATGTATGGGAACCATAGAATTGTAGAGTTGGAAGGGATCCTGAGGGGCATCTAATCCAACCCCCTGCAATGCAGGAATCTCAATACAGAGTCCCCCATCCAATCTGAAAGGGAAGAAGATTGTCAGAATTGTAGAGATAAATGTTCTGTTTGTTCACATGCTTGATCAAAAATGAAACTGACGTTTTTCAGGCTAACCCCCTGCCCTCTGCACCATTCTTCCCCAATTGATTTTTTAAGTACTCTGGCCTATAGGGGCTTCCTTTTCTACATGCAGCCAGCAGGCAGAGGCAGATGCCAAATGGGTAGGAAAACTACTGTTTTGTATGCTCCTGCAACAGCATCCTGGATAGAACTATAAGCAAGAAAAATTGGGTCCTGCATGGACAGATAGTATCCTCATATCATTACACCATACCTGCTGTTAATATAACACCAAGCATAGAGCGTGTATCTCAGCCTTCCCCAGATTCATGCCCTCTAAATGTTTTGGATTACAACTCCCATCATCTATGATCATTGGGCATGCTGACCGGGACTGATGGGAGGTACAGACCAAACCATCAGGAGGATACCAGGTTGGGGAAGGCTAGTGTAGCTGAGTGGCATGAGTCTCTTAAGTCACAGCCTCATGCATCTAAATTTAATATATGACACACATACACATGGAAGTAATAGCAATAATAGTAATAGGAAACAAATTTCATCATTATCGTGGGGTAAATGGTTAATCAGTTCTGTGTGTGTCACCTGTGAACCTAAACAGCTACTCAAGTTAGGTAAAGCAACTCAATTAAAACCTGATAAAGACTGTTAACCTCTGAGAATGATGCTATCCAAGTCCTGCCACAGAAAGCTCCATCTTTTTGCTGCCACCCTCAAAGGCAGATTGCCAGATGTTAAGCTCAGTCTACTTTGTTTTATATGCACCCTGCCCCCCCAACATGGTGTTGACAGCATCAGAGGCAGCAAAAGTAAAACTCAGACATTAAATTGAGAAATCACATTAGGAAGCAGTGGGTTGGGTGGGGAATAGGAAACAGTGCTGATATTCAGCTGGGGGGGGGGGACAACTCCATCACAGCTCTGGACTCAGTAACTGTTTGGCAGTATTCATATTGTCATAATTGAAGAGGTGAGAAATCAGGGCTCCTCTGACCGACAGGACAATACAGGTGAGAATATCTGATATCCCATTAGTCCATGGTTCCACTTCCTGTTCCTCATTGGCCATGACAAGCACTTGACTGAGAAGCGAAAGTCAGATTCCATTGCTCATTTGCTCTTCCCAGCCAATAAGCTGCAGCAAAACAGCGCATACACCCTACCCATAGAGACGTTGCCATAGGGCCAATCTAGGTACAATGCACTTTTCACGTCCATTTATACTTAAGCCTCTGCTTCGTTAAAGAGACTGAAAGCACAATCCTGAGAAACTGCCTTTTACTGAAATGCCTCAGTCATCTATTTATTTCACACTGACAGCTCTTCTCAAGTGGGGGGTTCAGATCACAACAATGGGTCACAACAGGTAAGAATTTTAATGTACCATGGATCCAAGATGAAAGCCAATGGGATGTAGTGGTTAGAGTGTCAAACTAGGACCTGGGAGAACAAGGCTCAAGTCCACACTCAGCTATGATTCTCAGCCTAACCTACCTCACAGGGTTGTTGTGGGATTAATTGGGGGCAGGGAGAACCATGTATGTCACCTTTAGCTCCTTGGAGCAAGGTGAGGTATAAATGCAATAAATAAATAAACAAAATCCCACTCTCTGGTAATAGATGTTTGGCTACCCTGTAAACACTGTCTTCACCCAAAGTCATTTCTGTACTCAGAACCTGTAAAACATGTTCTTTTAAAACAAAAACTATAATTTTCAAATAGTTCATTGGTTATTCTGGAAGTCAAAGAAGTTCCATTAGCGATCAGAGTTGTGCAGAAAAGTAGTGCTCTTGTTTGTTATTTGCCTAGTTAATGATTTCTCAGGCACCCAAACACATCAAGAGCAACATATTTTCTGACCCCAGTTAAACATGATTCAGCTCAAAAGGCTAATACTTTTTATGCAATGCTAATAAAGCTAATAAAATGGACACACTAGACTGAGAACCAGGAGACATGAGATAAGGCTAAATTCTTATGCCAATGACGTTCTGTATAACCATGGTCAAGTTATTTCTTAAGAATTGCTGAACCACAGAAATATTTAGGGTTGCCTCAGTGTGATTTTATGACATTGTGGTATTCCTTTGGAGTCTTCAGCTTACTCATGGCATCATAGTCATGTATCACTAATGACCATTCTTTCCAGTTCTGATATTAACAGTATTATGCAAAGTTATTGCAGAGCAGAATTGCATAGGCAGACGAAATAGGAGATGACTCATTTGTACAGCATCCTAAGAAATGTTCAGCTACTGTGGAACCAGTTATGTTGATGCAGATCTACATTGCTGAGAGGAAACTTAAGCCAGTAGTTCATTTATCATTATATTGCCTATGGTAACTATAAGTGACTCTGCAAAGTTTCGGGTGGAAGTCTTTACTGTCACTACTTGGACATTCTAGGGGCCAAAACAGAATGGCCTTCTACGCTAAAAATGTGTGCTGCAGCTAGATAGCTGAGTTGGTTAGAGCATGGTGTTGATAATGCCAAGGATGCAGGTTTGATCCCCGTATGGGACAACTACATATTTCTGCATTGCAGGGAGTTGGACTAGATGATCCTTGGGATCCCTTGTCTGGTTGAGCATTCAGTCATAATACTAAAGGACATAAAGGTAAAATAGTAGAGAATCTGTCATCTTCCTACCATTAAAGACTTCCTGGATCAGGAAAATTCAGAAGATTGCCCTGCATGATTTGAGAACAGAATTTCCAAAGAGTTAACACAATCCATTTGTTAGAGAGGAAATATCTGACACAAGCTGGGATCAAATGCCAGGACAAGTACCAGCTAATCAATATTGCTCAAAGGTGAAGGCCAGAGAATGGAGCCAAAGAGAGTTGCACAAGTTAAGCAAAGTTTAGTGAACGGGCACACCTGATAAAGCAATGATTTAATTCTCTTCTCTATTGAAAAAAGTTCTTTCTTTAACCTGCCACTAGAGTCCACAGTCCACAGGCTAAAGGAAAGAGAGATATACAAAAATTAAATTTCACAGGCCACTCCAAGATTTCCCTTTATTAGTCTTCTGCCTTTTCAGATCAGGTAGGTGGTGGGTGAACTTCTAGTGACTGATGTGGATCTGGATCCAAACTGTTCTGGTAAAAGAGGGTTGGTTGTAAGCAGCTTGTTCTCTGCACAATGACTTCATCTCAAAGGATTTCCCCCCTTTCTGAGGCAAGCTTGCCATGTGCAGGCCTTCCCTCCTCTCATTCACCAAAGCTGTTTCTGGAAATAATTTGTGGTTTGGAAGTGCCCTCATCAATTTCAAAGAACTTCAGATTTTTCACAGGAGTCCATCTACCCTGGTGTCTTGTCTCCAGCCATGGCCCACAGCTAAATACTTCAGACAAAGACAAAGCACCCAAGTGACAACAATCACAGCACCAGCCTTGACTTAGCACCTGTGACTCAACCTAGCTTCTTTTGACTAGTCTGTCTTCTCTAGACTAGATTCTACTGGACTTTTCTGGAAAGCTCCCAAGGAAAGCAACTGGATTCTACTGGACTTTTCTGGAAAGCTCCCAAGGAAAGCAACTGAAAGGTGACCGGGCAGCCCCACACACACTTCAGAAAGCCACATTCCCTTTGAATGCCAACGTGTATCAAGAGAAGGACTCACATTACTCAACACAACTTAGCCGCTTTCAAAATTGGTTTGGCTCCCTTCTTTCCCCTTAGGAAAAAAAATGTCTGGCAATGAAAACTTTCCTGTAATAGAACAGAAGCAGTAGAGGAGGTCCTGAAATCTGGGCTTAATTCAGGGCTTGGGGAAGGGATGTAGGCACATGTAGAAGGTCTGGCTCAATCCTGTCATATTCAAGTAGGGAGATAGACTGCTGCCTGAAGCCTTGAGGAGCCTCTGCTGTTCAATGTAAACAATACTGAGCTAGATGGATCAATTGACAGAGCTGATGTAAGGTAACTTCCTATATTCCAGGATATCCCATCATGTGCTGTAGAATGAGACTAGAGCTAAAGTATGTCCACTTCTCCAGGACTCCTCCTATCCATTGTAATAACAATCCATTGTAATACACAGCATGGCGCATTGTGCATCCTGATCTCATATGAGTCATTCCAGTGACACCATCACTTTCCCACCTTTTAATTATTTATTTTATAAAAACGAAAGAGGGAGAGAAGGAAATAGCAGGAAAAAGAGATAAACTGATTAACATTCTATTGGCTTGGTCTGTTTTTGTTTTATTCTGTATTTTGTGTTTTCATTTTGTATTTTTATGTTGTGAACTGTCCCGTGATCTTCAGTTGAAGGGTAGTGTACAAATTTAACAAATAAATAAATGAGGAAGAAAGGCAAAAGAACAGAGACAGAGAACTTCTTCTTCTTCTTCTTCTTCTTCTTCTTCGGCGCATTAAGATGGGTCATATATTGAAGATTGGGCTGAAGACGGGGAGGTAGTGGGAGGGAGGAAGGGAGAAAGCTGACAGTTAAGTGTGACATTACCTCCTAGTCCAAATCCTATGACAGGAATACTGGACAGAAGACTCAGTAAAGGGAGAACCTCAAAAGGATCTGTCCTCGGGGAAGCTCTCTGCACAGTTCATTTGCTCACTCCTCCAGCAGAGGTGTCTACAACACAAATGTTTAGGGAAAAGCAAGTATACCTGGGCAAATGCTCAAAGAGCCTAAAGGCGCCAGATATCTTACAAGGTGGGTAATGAATCGATATTTGAGCCTCGTCAGCCACTAAAAAAAATACTACCTCAGATTTGCTCACCTAAGTCCTTTAGAGACTTTAGACCTAAAGAACCAGAGGGAAGTCCTATGGTTTTCGTTGGGAACCTGCACCTATTTACCTTCCTCCAAACTACTAGAATAAACTGTGCAGTCTGACAACTTCAACAGGAGTCACCCATGGATGGGCAGATCTGACAATTTTGGTTTCTCACAGTCTTTCATTTCTCCAATCTTAAATCCAGTTCTCCACAGTTCCACATCAAATTGTAATTAATTAATTAAAAGTCCTCATGAACACGCATCAGGATTTTAGTGTGAATTTCTCCCCAAAGACACATTTGTATGCAATTTTTCCTAATATACACATATTTGCAAAGCATTTTCCTCTAACATAATGAATTTTAGGTGCACTTTCCCACAGTACCATATTTTTCGCCCTATAGGACGCACTTTTTCCCCTCCAAAAATGAAGGGGAAATGTGTGTGCGTCCTATGGGGCGAATACAGGCTTTCGCTGAAGACTGGAGAGCGAGAGGGGTCGGTGCACACTGACCCCTCTCGCTCTCCAGGCTTCAGGAAGCTATCCACAAGCCTTGGGAGCCTGCGGGAGTTCCCGCGCTCCCACGGCTTGCGCAGAGCTGCCTCTACACCCGAAGCCCGGGCGCGCTGAGCAGTCACGCCGGGGCTTCGGGTAGCTCTGCACAAGCCGCGGGAGCCCTCCGACTGCTTGCGCAGAGCTGCCTCTACACCCGAAGCCTGGGCGCGCTGAGCAGTCAAGCCTGGGCTTCGGGTAGCTCTGCGCAAGCCGTGGGAGGGCTCCCACGGCTTGCGGAGAGCATCCTGTTCTGGGGGCTAGGGAAGCTCCGGCTTCCCCCTACCCAGCCCTGCGCCTGGGGGGGAAATTTTTTTTTTCTTTATCCCCCCCCAAAAAAAAACTAGGTGCGTCCTATGGGCCGGTGCGTCCTATGGTAAAAATACGGTATATGCATCTGTGTACACATAATTTCCCTGGAGAACTGCATTGCAAAATTCAGAGGCGTGCAAATTTTGAAGGATGGCTGTGTTTCACAGAATCACAGACTTGCAAGGGACCGCGGGGGTCATCTACTCCAACCCCCTGCAATGCAGGAATCTTTTGCCCAACATGGGACTCAAACCCATGACCCTGAGATCAGAAGCCTAATGCTTTTCGAACTGAGCTATCCAGCTATCTCCATTTCACTTCTCACCTTGTGTAAGAAAGTGCCTATTGGGTAGGTCCACCTTGAAATGAGAACGGAATCAAATTTGTTCCCCACCCCTAACAGGACACCAGGTTTGTTTAAGCTGGGCATCCTCAGAAGTCACACAGGGTAATTTCAATAAGCTGAAATGAGAGCTGTGGCAATCATTTATTTGTCCTTAAAGAAGGACTTTGGGGCTTATGTGCACCTTATTTTCCACACATCAATTGAATACACAGCTTCATTTAAGCTCCGAAGAAACACCTGTGTCTTACTAATTCTGCATCCATAACTAATTTGATTGCGATAAGCATACCAGCAACTGGTAGATTTGACATATAGTTCAGAAAGCCCTCTATCTCCCAGCTTGAGTGTAAAATGACCTGGAAACAATTGTTAGAAGCATTTCTGTTCAATGGTGGCTCTGCTTATCCAGTAGTGAGATCTGAAGAGTTTCTTGTTCTGAGAAATAGTGTTTGGCTCTGGACACTGTTTCTCAAATGCTTGAAATCAATCAATCTCTGCAATGCTGGGTACTGTAAGTACAGCAAATGATTATAGCAAGTGATTGATCCCAAATAAAGCAGAGTAAAGGGATTTGCCATTGCTCATTCAACATGGCCAATGGCATGTGTGGGATTTGCTGTAAATACTTAACTCTAATGAAGAGTGGGTTTGGGGTTCATCTTTTAGGGTGCAAGGAGCCTGATTTGGTTTCTAGAGATTTTCGTATCATTCTGAAGAAGTGGCTGTTTAGGCCCATTTGAACCTGGCTCATGTCTCTGTACATACCTGCTGCAAAACTGAAGAGTAAATATTAGTAACAGATACACTCAAATTTGGATTGTCTGCTACCAGCCTGGGAATATGTAACCTGTATAGGGATATATTGCCATCTAGTGATACCAATGAGTTGGAAACACTGAAGGAAAAGATGGCTGATTAGACGGGAATCCATGTAGCTCTTGAGCAGTTTGTACTGAAAGGTAAAGTAGGTCAGGTTAGGGTTTTGCTGATAAGTAGATGTACTTTATTTTAAACAGCAGCATGCTTTACGAGAACCATGGAATTTGGAGATAGAGAAGCAATGGAGCAATTAGTGAGCCTTTAAGGAGCCTCTGGATTACATAGATGGCATATGGAACTTTTTACCTAGCCAGAACACAGGTCCATCTAGCTCAGAATCACCCACTGGCTGGCACTGCTTTCAAAAGGTTCATAGGGGGCTTTCCCCCAGACCTACTAAGAGACACCAGCAAGTGAACTTGGGACCTTGTGTATATAGAGTAAGGACCTTACCACTGATCCACAGCATCCCCTTTAACTTTCTTACATTGCAATTCCCTCCCTACTTTCCTGGTGTGAGATAAACCATATTTTGCCTGAATTGGCAAGTGTAGTTCACACTTGCCCTGCATACCAGGATTGGAAATGTTGGGAGGAATTCAACATACCACTAAGATCACTTAGCACAAGTGTTTCTGCTTCTCTTTTTTTATTATAATATTTTCATTCATTTTACAATACAAAATTAAAAATACATCACAACGTTTTCACAAAAACATTCTTTTAGACTTCCCTCAGCTCTTCTGCGAATCCTCCATTTTAGATCTTTCTTCCGCATTTCTTAATTTAATATTGCCTTTTATTAAAAACCTGCTCCCTCTCTACTCCCTTTTTGACAATATTTCTAATATTATTCTTTCACAGAGCCTCTTGCACACCAACAAACGTTATTTGTTCATCACATGTACTTTTCAAATAATCTACAAATTTACTCCAGTCCTCGGTGAACCTGTGGTCTCGTAGGTTTTGGATGCTTCCTGTTAATTTGTCAAGTTCTGCATAATCCATTAATTTCATTCTCCATTCTTCCATCGATGGTAATTCTTCTTGTTTCCATTTTTGGGCTAGTAGTATCCTTGCCACTGTTACTGCGTATAGAAAAAGCTTATAGTCTTTTCTGTTTATTTCATTTCCTACCATTCCTAACAAAAATGCCTCTGGTTTCTTAACAAATGTATATTTCAACATTTTTTTCAATTCATTATATATCATTTCCCAGAAGCCTTTCATCTTTTTACATTCCCACCACATATGGTAAAATGTTCCCTCTTTTTCTTTACATTTCCAACATTTATTACACATTTTATACATTCTTGCTAACTTCACTGGAGTAATGTACCACCTAGATACCATTTTCATAACAGTGTGTTTCAGATTCTCAGATGGGATTTTTTTTTTTTTTTTTTGCCTCTTTCCCCCTGCATGCTGCTCCGGGGGTTCTGCCTCCCCACCCACAAGCGGAGCATAGGGCCAGAAGAGGGGAGAAAGCCCTGTTGCACTAACAGAAGTTCTTGTGCAGGCTGTGCATTAGTTGAATCCAGACCTGTGGTGACCTTGATTCCAAACCTTTAATTCCAAGCCATAGTGTGACAGTGCATCTGAACCAGACAAATCTAAAATGATTGAAAATGAAGAGATATCAGAAGGTGCTAATTTTCATATTTTTCTGAGTGATGTATGTCTAGGATGAATTACTCATAGAATTATAGAATTGTAGAGTTGGAAGGGACCTGCGAGGTTCATCTAGTCCAACACCTTGCAATGCAGGAATCTTGACTGAAGCATCCATGGCAGATGACCATCCAACCTTTGCTTAATAATCTCCATCCGTCAACCTTCTGAGGGAGTCCATTCCACTGTTGAACAGCTGTTACTGTCAGAAAGTTCTTCCTGATGTTTAGCTGGAATCTCCTTTCTTGTACCTTGAAATCGTTTGCCGACTCCACATACAGTTTTCTGGCTCCTGTCCATGCTGTTTTCAACATGCAGACACTAAAGTTTATCTCCAAGAGGCAGAACAGCACATGGCACAGGGCTGCTGCCCAAAATGGCAGCCTTGTATGGAGTCCTCACACCTCTCCATTGTGACATTCAAGCATTTATTACCTGTGCCACAGTGTCATTCTGATCTGCATTTTGCAGTCCCCACAAGCAGCAGACAATGATGTGGAATCGTTAGCACAGCATATTACAAAGCAACAGCCCTGGATTTTACCAAGATCAATAAGCAGCCAAACCTAATCCTGACTCTTTGAGTGTACCAATATGATATGTGAGTTGTCATACACATTGAGTCTTTACATTATTAGAGGTAGCCTTACATCATCATCATCATTATTAAATTTGTATACCACCCTTCATCCAAAATCACAGGACAGTTCACAACATAAAAATTCAAAATAAGAACACAAAATGCATAATAAAACAAAAACAAACCAATAACCTCCCTCCCACAAACACATTTAAAAGGACACAGAATGTTAATCAGCCAAAGGCCTGGTTATAGAGAAATGTTTTTGCTTGGTGCCTAAAGATATGTAATGAAGGCATCCCACAGGCTTCCCTGGGGAGAGCATTCCACAAATAGGGAGCCATCGCAGAAAAGGCCTGTCCTTGTGTTGTCACCCTTTGGACATTTTATGGAGGAGATACACACACAAAATGGGCCTCAGATGATGATCACAGGGTCTGGATCAGTTCATATGGTCTGTTCAAAATCTTAAAGATACACCTAAAAATTTTAATTCATGCTTGCACTTGGATCAGGACTTGGATCCACATTGGATCTACTTTATTTAGGTTACAAGATCTGTAACTTGTGTTGCCTGCATATGGAAAGGGGCTAACTGTATGGGCAGAAAAGTGGCCATAGCTAAGTTACAGCAGGATCGTAATTCCAGCGTGAAAGTTCTATTGCGTGGACAGGCGGAGTCCCCAGATCCCGAGCGGTCCCCCCCGTCATGTGGAATAACGACTCAAGACAACGTGCTATGGGATTAAATTGGCCACAACTTTATTAAATTTCAAATGTGGGTAGACCTTGGCTCAGGCATTGGGCGTTCTCCCTCCCCAGTCCCCAGCCAGGGACCTAGGGAGCTTCAGGGTTATCCAGTGTGTGTGGGGGGGGGATGGGCTGGCTCTGGAGAACATATGTTCAAGCAGAGATAGCCGCCCCTGTTACACCGCCGCTGCAGGGGAGAGCAATGACGACCTTTCGGCGTACGGTCAAAGCCTCCCTTCAGAAACCCCTTTAACGGGGAACCCTGGTATCACCGCCGCAAAGAGGAAGATGGACTAAAGGATTCCGCCCAAGGCCTGATACCGCCAAAGTTGTGACGTTTTGCTACGGGAAAGGCGAAACCTGCCAATGCAGGGAAATTCCTTTCCGGCCCTTTAACAGTGACCTTAAAGTAGCAGCGCCCGCATACCTGTGAAGAAAAGTTAACCTGCAAAACCTGTGAAGAAAAGTTAACCTGCAAAATAAGACATTAACTGAGGGTGGGTAGGGTGGGAGAAGCTCTGGAGCCAAGTGAGGATTCCCAGGTAAGATCCTCCCTCTATTGTGTGGGCAGGTAATCCCTCCCCTACCTGGCCTGGTCTCCTTGGCAACGCTTCCCCCAGGTGGGATTGGACAACTGACTGAGGTCGGCGGAGACCTCCAGGTATCCCACCTGAGGGAAGGCAAAGCCAAGCCTATGCTGATGGAGCCACTCCAGATCTAGGGGCTGCGCGCGTCCACGCAAAGGTCGCCCCCCGTTTTAAGCGGGGAGCGGTCATTCCAAAGAGGCAGATTTTCATACTCCTACTTACAAAATAGCAGAGCCAGGGAAAGCACAAGAGTATAAAGCATCCATGCACTGTAAATCTCCAGCAGATGAGTCTCTTAAAGGCTGTTATGACATAGCTGGCAAGGTAAAGACAGACTATCGAAAGCCTGAGAAACTTGTGAGCTACCAACTCAAACACAAGCCACAGTGGCCCACCAAGGAGCAAAACACAGCTCTTTGCTTCCAAAGGTTGCAAAATAAATGGAGAGGGCCAAGCACCTGTGAGGCCATTATGTGGCCGGTGGGCTCCATTCAGCTTCAAGGGTATCAAGGTCAGGAAAGATTTGCAGTCTAATTTGGGGATAGGCAGAAGGTAGTTAAGATCTACTTGAAGACAACTAGACAATTTATGGTGGGATAATGCTAGGTTGGTGGGATTCTTACAAAGAAAACAACACACGGAAACGCCATTTACCTTCCCGCCGGAGCGGTACCTATTTATCTACTTGCACTTTGACGTGATTTTGAACTGCTAGGTTGGCAGGAGCAGGGACTGAGCAACGGGAGCTCACCCCGTCGCGGGGATTCAAACCGCCGACCTTCTGATTGGCAAGCCCTAGGCTCTGTGGTTTAACCCACAGCGCCACCCACGTCCCTTGAGTATGTACTTAGTGCTTTGTAAATTTATATTACATTGAAACACCATGGCCATTCTAGTAAAAAAGGAAAAAGAGGACCATGTAAGAATGAGGCATGCATCTTATCAAATGGTTAAACAAGTTTACAGAGCCCTGCCCAGAAAAAGTCATGAACTGGCTGGCTACTTACAGGAAAGGTTAGCATAACCTAATAATAATAATAATAATAATAATAATAATAATAATAGGGCACTTTCTTTCCATCTCTGACTTCTACTACTCTCTATTAAACAAAACTTACTCATCAAATTCACTGATTTGTAATTTCTCGGCTGCATCTGCCAATTATTCCGTGAATTCATCTTCCCACCCTCTCGAATGATCTGCAGATTTGCACACACACCCCTTGAAGAAACAGCTGGATGACTTCATTTGCTGACTGGAAGCTGGGCAAGAAAGGCATCATCCTTCTCAAGTAGACTGTGGTTGCTAACGCCTTCTGTTACTGCACTGGGAAAAAGTCCATATATGAAATAATATTATTATCCCATGGTGGCACTCAGTCCATAACCACACATTAAAGAGGGGGCAGAGGGAGGGGGATAAAGAAACAAAATACTTAATCCTAGCTAGATGAAAGACTACTCCAACTGTGTTTCTGCATTGTCATGAATGCATAAAAAACCTTATGTTGTCAGCTGTTTGACTGATGGATTACAAAAATTAAAATGAAACAGTACAAGCTGCCTTCAGTGGTCTAATCTGTCCTCATCAAAGTCAGTAGCAGAACTTGGTTAGGAACATAAGCCTGTTCAGTGGTCCATGTGTTGTCTGACTCACAGCAATTTTCCAGGGTATCTGGTAGGCCTTTTTAATTCCTACCAGGAGAAATCAAGGATGGAACCTGGGACCTTCTACATGCAAGGCACCCGCTCTTCCACTGAGCTATGACCATTCCGAGCTTTAATATCACAGAGTGCATACATAAAATCTAACCTTTTCTGGCTGAATGCTCCGAAGGAGATCCATAGATACCTGAGTGGGTGGTGCCTAACTAGGCATAACGAGAGAGAAAGTGAGAAGTGAACTGGAAGAAATAAGCTTGATATGCTACTCTGAATTAGGGTGAGTTCCTTTTCAGAGATGCAGTGAATTTGGGTCCAGAAGCAGCAGCCAGTGTTGGTGGAGCAATGCACCCTCCCATCACTAGGCACCTTCTCATCACTGGGAGTGGCGCAGGGAGACAGTAAGTTTGGGACAACCTGGACGCGCCAGGGAGAGCACCAGGTGGGCTTTGCTAGTGTATTCACACAGTGCTGACCTCCTCCTGCCATGTCCCACACCCTGTCCTGTAGGTGGCTGCAACATTGGTGTCAGAAGGGTAGCACTGCCTCACCATGCTGGCTGCTCCCGTTTGGGCAAGGCTGAGAAATGGAGGAATGGGGCTTGAACAAGGGAGGTGAGTCAACTCAATTTTTGCTTTCCCTTTGCCCCTCTGTGTTGAGAAATGTGAGGAGCGCAGCTGACATTTTAATGCGAACTGCCTAATTTTCACTCCCCAAAACGATGCTCAAATTGAAACACAAATGTGAACATTTCTCTGAATTTTGTGAGGCAATTCTCCAATGGAAAAAAGTGTATAAAAATGTGTATATTAAGGGAAAGTGTGCAACATGCATGTGAGTGGAAATAAGATACACACAAATGCATTACATAATTGCTTTCAATAAGTATAAATGAGGCAAAATATGCAGAAAAATGAATACGAATTTTCATGTGGACTTTAAAGAAACATGAAAACTGATGTAAGAAGCAAAGCAAACTGAATTTGTGATAAGAAAAATGAGAAACTGAGAGAAACTGCAATTGGCATATTAGTCCATCCTAAGCTGAGACAAACTAAGCGGAACCAAATATATGATGGTTGGGTGTGTTTTATCATCTGACCTGTAAATTATGGGCTAGGAGGTGTTTGTCCTTAGCCCTGTGCTGGTTTCGAACTATTCCAGTGCTTTTCTTATCCAGAAAACTTTGATGGGCATTTGATTGGGTTCCTTAGCAGCCAAAGGCTCTATATTATGTTACTAGCCCTATGAACTATTCCATCCCAGTGGATTGCTCTTTCCTCTTTTCCAGGGCTCAATTGGAAATTAAATCCATCGTCTACATCTCTATTTTTCTTTAATTCCACTCCCTCCCCTTCCAGTAAAGAATGTTTGTGAAAGCAAGTGATCCCCTGAACTCTGGCTTCCCCTGAGAAGCACTTGTGCTCTCTGTCTCTGACTTAAAGAAGTTTCAGATACATATAGGAAAGGAATTTCATAAGCTGTCAATTGCAAAACATTCCACACATTCCCTCTCATCTAGAAACATCCATGTGTGGTCTCTGAAGAGGTTATATTTGGGGGCGATGCAATGGGGGAGCCGACAAGGTTTCTAGCACAATTCACATATGGGAGGCAGTGAGGCAATATTAGGGAAAGTCTTTACTCCATTGCTCAGGCTAATATTACAGTAAATATATATAAACAGACAAATTCAAGAGGCCTCAATCACATTCATGTTATTAACCATCTGATCCTCAGGTGCAATACAGTAATTTATTTGCCTCACCTTCCTCTTTCATCTAAACCACTACAACCCCACAGTGACATCACAAACCTTCACAAGAATTTGGGACGTGGGATAACTATTCTGCGTTCCTGTCTTCCTAACCTCACGAAGTCTCTGGCAATAAGAAGATTTCTGTGGCACGTTCCACCATATTATGTGCAAATATCAATAGACAATAAGAAAATAACTGGATCAAGTAACCTGTGGAGAGTTTTCAACACCCTTTGAGATTCCTCAGAGGTTTCGTTTTAAGGGGAACCATGAAATTAACTTTTTTTAATTGACTTTTTATTCCCTTTATTCCATTCAATGATAAGAATTATTATTATTATTATGTACACCAACTCCATTTCAAATTAATTTTGCTACTTTTAGTGCAATTCTTCATAGCTTTGCTTGAAATTCCTCAGGTGCTTCACCTGAGGAAGAACCTCCTCATTTGCTGAAAATTTTCTTTTAGGCAAAAAACCAAAAAACCTGGTGGCCCCTCTTGACTGCATATTTCACTTGGAAACATTTATCAAGTTTTATCAATATATGATGTAGCTAATTTTTAAACTTGTAATCCAGGTATTGTTCTGATATTATGTAAAAAACAAACAAACCCACAAATGCATCCTTCAATGGAGAGGTTATCTCTTGCCCTTCTATCTTCTCTCAACTCTTTGTACATTTGAGCCAACAGTTAGCAATATCCATTAACTTCCTGCACGAGATTATCTCAGCTTTGGTGACTGGAATGTAGGGCTTGGAAAGAAAACAAATGTTTTCAGTTTAGTTTTAATAGTAATGGGTGTCATTTTCAATTGCTGGCTTTTAACTGCCATTTTACAAGCCTTTGGAATAACTTGTCTTCAGTTCTGGCAAGAAAGAAAGAAAGAAAGAGAGAGAGAGAGAAGCTGGCTGGGAAGTCCTCAGTTTAGTTAGCCTTTTCAGTAGAACTGTTACTGAATTTGACTAAGGCAAAGGACCACTCTGTTCTGTCATAGATGTGAAGGAATTTAGGAAGATTTGCAGAATTTCCTAGAAGGGTTTGGCACAGCACTAGTTCGCCTAATGAGAAATTTAAGGAGAACTGTTCAGATCCTGCTCATGTGAAATATCTGCTGGAATTTTCATGGAATCTTAGAGTTGCAAGAAGCTTCCAGGTCATCTAGCCTAACCCCTTGCCAATACAGGAAATCTACCACAACAGCATCCCTAATAGGTGGTCACACAGCCTCTGCTTTAAAAAGCCTCTAATGGAGGAAAATTCAGTGCTTCGTAAGGGAGACTGATTCAACGTCAAATAGCTTATGTTGTCAGGAGGTTCTTCCTAATATCTAGTCAAAATCCCCTTTTCTTCTGGTCTCAACTCCTTGGTTCAGGTCCTGTCCTCTGGAGCACGAGAAAAGAAATTTTAATAGTCCATCAAATATTTGAAGATAGTTATCATATCATATCTTAAACCAACTCTTCTCCAGGCTTAACTCTACTTTGAGTATCATCATGGAAAAAAGGTGGGGTACAATTTTATTGTTACCATCATCAAACTATTTCCTTCTATTTTTTCTCACAGAATGTGGTCTCTAGGCCTCTCTCCAGCTTTGCCACCTTCCTCTGTATATGTTCCAGTTTGTCAATATTCGTCTTAAACTGCACACTCTCGGCAAGGTCTGGCCACAGCAGACTAGAGTAACACCATTGCTTCTTATGATTGGAACCAGGGCTTTCTTTTCAGCCGGAACTCACCGGAACTCAGTTCCGGCACCTCTCAGGTAGGTGCCATTGTCATTATAAGAGAACAAGGGAGGCGTTCATGATGCGTTCCGGACCCTCTTTTTCTAGAAAAATAGCACTGATCTGAACACTATACTTTTGTTGATGTAACCTAGGATTGTATAAGCCTTTTTAGAAGTTGCATTGATCTGATCATTCATATTTATCTTGTGGTCTATCAAAACCCCTAGATCCTTTTCAGATGTACTGCTGTCAAATTAGGTGTCACCCGTCCTATATTTGTGCATCTGATTTCTCCTGCTTAAATGCAGAACTGCACATACCATATATCCGTGATGTAATTCAATTTCATTAGTTTTGGCCCAGTCCTGTCAAATCTGGTTTACAGAATAAAAACACAGAATACATAATAACAAGTTCTAATGGTGCCTAAGGATGCATTTCATCTGGACCTAAAGACTTGGAATTCATTTAGAGTGGCTAGGTCCTCTCATACCACCTCCAGGTATTTTCATAGATTCTTAGGGGGGACCACAGGGCTCATCAAGTCCAACCCCCTTCAATACAGGAATGTTTTGCCCAACAGAGAGCTTGAACCCATGACCTTGACATTAAGCGTCTCATGCTCTACCGCAGCTCCTTCCCATCACCATGTGGTCTATTTTTGCTAGATCAAGTTCAGTTGGCTTTATGGGAGAAGACTGGGGGAGCTGAGCAGGTGTATCATTTATATATCACCTCTGCTCCCGCAAGTTCAAGATCGCAAACATTGTTCTCCCTCCTCATTTTATCCTCACGACAACCCTGTGAAATATGTTAGACTGAGAGGATATGACTGGCCCATTGTCACACTATGAGATCCATGGCCGAGTGTAATTCTATTCTTCATGAATAAGAATTGTGAGGCATCTTTTGATTTTCATTTCTATCTGGTTCCACGAGTTTGTGCCTCCTATTTTATTTAGCAATCATTTTTGTATGGATGCTTACATTATACCATAACACACACACACACACACACACACACACACCCTCCTACATTCCTGCAACAACAGGAGGTCAGGAAAGAATGTGGGTTCCGAGAATGTTTCAATTTCAAGGCATGGATTTTATCATCATTCCTCACAAGGTATTCATGGATTATTACCAGAATAAACCTCCTCCTTATCTCCTCTTGCACTTCAACTATGCCAGGACTCTATCAAAGCTTCTGCCTGCCTCCGCAACAAAGCAAACAACCTCATGGTCAAAATTTCTATCACTCGGTATCTGCACTATGTCTCTGTTTTTCTCCATTGCTTGCTGCACTTGTTGCAGTGATGGCTTTTCTCTGAACTAAAGCACCTTGATTTCACACACACACACACACACACACACACAGGCAGACAGGATGGAGAAGAAATTTGCTATTTTTGCATTTTATCTCATTAGTAGTTCCTGAACCAATCTGTGAACTAAAAACTGCTTTGCTTCAAAATTCACACTTCTCCAAATTTTGTTATGCAAATAAGTTTGCTTGAACTCAGTGGGCTTGTTTCTGAATGTATGGTATTGCATTGCGTGCCAGGGGGCTAGGAATGGACAAATCTGTCACTTTTGCTTTCTCTACATTTTTTCCTTTTCCCAAACTTAAATTCACCCCATTTCTGTACCAGTTTGTAATTGTTTCTTTTCAAAAGTCTGTTTGCAGATTCATAAGCATTTTTGAGGTCATTTCTCTAAATATACAGATTTTAAACCTGATTTTGCCCAATGTATATATCTTCATAAGCAGTTTTCCCTATTGTAGTGTGTTTTGTGCATTAGTTTCACTAATACATGCATTTTTGTGCTCACTTTCCCCTAATATACCCATTTTTGGATGTTTATTTTATTTTTGTAGAATTCCAGGAATGGGTGTATAGGATTGATTCTATACCAAATCCCGTTTTTGGTTATGATTACGTAATTTGATTTATTTATTTACAATAATTTGTTTGTTTTATTTTCTCTGTTGATAGCTTGCTTAATATGTAGTTCGGCAATATTTTACACTTTAGTTAATGGAACTAGACAATGGAAATGTTTATTTAAAGTCCAATTTTGTATATAACTACCCATTTTTCTTCTTCACAGTATGATAGGTCATGATAGGCTACTGTCAAAATCTGGCTTTATCAACATCTAGTAAATCTACCCTCCCCCCACACACATGGCATACCCAGTGCCTGCCAAAGCAATAACATGTCTTAAGGAGCCATGCCACAAAAAGGCAATGAAGTTCTAGTAAATAAGCCACATTGAAAGACTGATAGTTTCCCTTCTACTTTTATCTCTTAACAGTCTAATTGGACTCTAGTAAGTTTGGGGCTGGCACTCATCACCAGATTTCAACTTCTTTGATGTGGCTTTCCCCTCAGAGCTATATAAATGCAGGGCGAACCAAAACTGATATCTTATACCTCCGCAAGTGTCTTTGGAGAATCCCCCATTTGCTCCAAATGACCAAAGCCACTAATAGGTCCCAGCTAACCAAGATGTTTGGGCAATGAATAAGAAACAGAGAGGTGCTGCTATGATTCAGACTTCAGAATGTGTAGCAGTGCGGTGGCAGAGGCACACCTCAAACTGTGATGTGGAAAGGGTTGGGGGAAAGCTTTGCAATATGCAGGATCTAGCAAGAGTTTGAAGTGATCTCCCAGAAATGCATGGAAACAGTGCTTCTGGAAAGCAGTGCTGCCTACACTATCTGTGATCTACCAAGCCAAATACGACCCACCTGCAATGTATGGCAGCTCACTGGAAGAGCAATATTTCTGATTTTGCTGCCTGCTGGGAAAACAGGGGCAGCTGTCAGACACCTGTCAGGCTTCAATACATGCCTGGTTGGCAGCGTTCACCCTGGTAGGTCACAAATTGTGTAGGCTTACATAATGATAATAAAGCAAACAAATTTGCTAACACAGCCTCTATGGATGAACGTGATGGGCTTATGACCAACCATAAAGAAGAGCCTGCTGGATGAGGCCAATGACCCATCTAGTCTAGCATCTTGTTCTCACAGTGGCCAACCAGATGCCTGAGGGAAATCCACAAAGGGAAATTGAGCACAAGAGCAGTCTCCTCTCCTGTGGAGAGCCAGTGTGGTGTAGTGGTTAAGAGTGGTGGACTCATAATCTGGTGAACCGGGTTCGCGTCTCAGCTCATCCACATGCAGCTGCTGGGTGACCTTGGGCTAGTCACACTTCTTTGAAGTCTCTCAGCCCCACTCACCTCACAGAGTGTTTGTTGTGGGGGAGGAAGGGAAAGGAGAATGTTAGCCGCTTTGAGACTCCTTAGGGTAGTGATAAAGCGGGATATCAAATCCAAACTCTTCTTCTTCCTGTGGTTTCCAGCAACTGGTATTCTGAAGCATCAAGAATGGTGGCCATCACTGCCTCCTGTGGAAACAAGTTCCATCGTTTCACTATGTGCTGTTCTTCTGCTTTATTGTGCAGGGGTATCATGGCAGTAGCAGAAACATTTATGGGAGGGGAAAGAAGAATTTGAAATGACATATTTCATTTTACACCATTAAGTCAGACAAGTGGGCACATTTTGAATCTTGAGAAAGTGCGATCAGCATCAGTCACAATATGGCTGCCATGGGGTATGTGGTATGACACAAAATGCCTCTCACATCTGAAAGAGCAGAAAGAGAGACAAAGCCAAAAAACCATATGGGGAACTCCGAGCAATGGGCAAAATGCACTTATGCCAGCCACCAACATGCTCACTCACAGAAAGAAGCTCTTCTCTTTGTTCAAAATGGGGAGGAGGATGGAAGAGCAAACAGACTCTTGCATACTGTAGATTTTTGAGGGGATACTAAGATCTTTCATGGGTGCCTTAGGACATAATGGCAGGCACACTAATGCCAGCAGTCACTATGTTGCATTCCTTGTTTTATGCCCTATACTGTATACCTTTTAAACAGAAACAAATCCATATATTTTATGTTATTTATTTATTATATTTTTTTAGTCCACCCACCATTGTGACTGATCTCAGGAAAGCACACACCAGCAAATTGACAGATTAAAAATTATACATAAATCAGGTCCAATTCACAATGCAACAAGAGCAAGGAAGACACTAGATAGGTAAGAATTAAGCTGGCACCAAAACAAGCAAAGGTGTCTTGAGAAATGGCTCTTTAAACCATTCCAGATGGCTCAAGTAATAAGCCAATCCACACACCTCAGGGCAGCAAGGAAAATGGGGATAAAAGGGGAAACTGGGACAAGGTCTTCAGCAAAGGTGAAAAGGAAAATGCATGAAATGAGAATGGGGCTGCAAATGCAATTTCACAGGAAGAAAGTCACTGGCACACAAGGTCTCATCCTTTTGTTAAATTTGGAATAACTAACTAAGTACTGTAGTAGTGAGACGCATTTCTCCCTTAGTCCTCCTACATACAAAATTTTGGAAACCCTGAATTACGCTGGAGAAGACAAGCTACTAGGGCGGTAAGAACAGGGCAAGAATTGGGAATCTTCACTGTCACTGTAATATGGATATATAGTTCCTTGAAAGTAGCTGATACCTGAATGATTTGACCCTTTTCATTGATTGAATGCTTAGTAACTTCTGCCAGAATGTGTGTGTGTGTGTGTGTGTGTGTGTACACACACACACACACACGCATGCATGCATGTGTGTGCATGCATGTGTGTCTGTGTCTGGGTTCATCCAGCTCAAAGACATAATGTCTTTCCCAAGAACACTGAAAGATACGCATGCAAGAATTCATATATGTATAGGACTGGAACAGTTTGTCTTTTAACCAAACTTCTAGACATGTAAAACACTCTGCACTCTAATCCAAAATTATAGTCTCTTTTCCTATCTTATCTCTGAGAAGCCCACTTATCAACCATTCATTCCTTCAGACTTTAATCTGAACTTCTGGTCAAAGTGGAACAGATGTACGGGAGAAAAGAAAAACAAAAAAAGCATAATGGGTTCATCTCCTTCTACACTCCCCTTAACCATGTGGCAGAACCTTATGGCTTTGTTTCATTTGAGCTTGAACTCTCAAATACCTGAATGGATAGGAGAAATGACTCACTAACCCATCATAAGTGTTTTAACTAGAACTTGATGAAATTGACCAGGTTAGGTCTGCTGGACTTCAGCCAACATGTGGCTTAAAATCTGAAATCCTTTAAGCTCTAAGTTGGCATAATCGTTTAAAAATGAAAACCACAATGTTCATTAGGAGAGGTGACCGCAATCAAATTACAAACATTAAATAAATTTATTTATGATGTAGCTTTAAGATAGCGTTTGGAATGCAATAAAATCTGCAGCTAGGATATCACTCTTGGGTCACGAAATGGCCCGGTTTTAGAAATGAAAATTAAACAAAAGACGACAAAACAAAACAAAACCAGGTACTCTTTGGTGTAAAAGTTAAGGATCCCTTTCTCTCGCCCTTTGTCGGCTGAGTGTTGTCATGCCAAAGGCCTGGGATGTAAGAAGAATATATATCACTTGCCTCAAAAACGAAACGTGAGAAGGCAAATGATAAAATTGCCACTGGAAAGGGGAAGCAGAGCAGGTAGAAAATGCTTTCTTTTCCTGCCTCCCCCTTTTTTCTCCCCCTCCCCCTGCTTCTCCCCACACACCTCAGCCCCATACAAATCAGCCAGTTTCCCTCTGGCAAAAATGTGCTTTCTGATGTTGCTGCCAGACCTCAGAAATGTATATTGCCGTTCTGGCTACATTTGGGAAAAGGAGAGTGCAGTGTTCAACAGATTCTCTTCATAGAGGGCCCCCTCATTTCCCACTTTCATCTGAAAGGGGCCATGGAGGAGGGGGAGAAAGAGACAATTCCACTTTAGGCCCAAATCCAATGACTATTGAAGTAAAAAGAAAAGACTCCCATCAATTTCAATGGGCCCTGGGTCAGGGCCTTTAATCTTTATTCCAAGATTAACCACATATGAGGAAGGTCAGCTGTGAAGAAAAAAACAACACCCAACCATTCAGGCTTTCAGCACCCGATCATTTCATAGCCCTACAGAGAGCCCATCAAAATCTCCTTGTCTATGTTGCTTTTGAGTTTGCCTCTTAGTATGCATGGAGGCAGATGGGAAAGGGGCAGAAAGGAGGGTGTGCATCTTCTGCTGAAGGCACAGAAACCTTCACGCTACCATTTGCCACGACACAAGGGGGAGAGAAGTTGCAACTCTCTCTCTCTCTCTCTCTCTCTCTCTCTCTCTCTCTCTCCTTCCCCTTAAGCCAGTATTGTGAAGCAGCAAATCTGTGCCAGCTTTCAGCCTATGATCTCCTCCAGCAGGGTTGTGAGGCTTTGCACTGCTGGCTCCAAAGCAGGTGGTGGGAGACTATGGGAAAACATGTTTACACCCTCCTCGCACGGCATGGGAAATGGTATTGTGAAAAGGGCCTGAGTATCTGAAACTATTGCTTGAAAACGGAGGGGCGCGCACAGCCAGATACCTATAACCTGGCTCAGCCTGCAGAAAAAGGCAGAGTGCTTACTCGATGAAAATGATGGTGGGATGAGGAGGAAAGTTCGAAAACAGAGAGCTGATTGTGAGTGTTCTCTAGTCATGAGTTTATACACAGTCTCTCTCTCTCTCTCTCTCTCTCTCTCTCTCTCTCACACACACACACACACACACAGCGCCACATAACACATGCCTACTTCTTTTGGTCAGAACTTGGGCTGGTTTGTATTGAGCATTTGAAAGTTTTTACCACAAAAGATAGGTTTTTGGTAGGGGAGAATGGTTCTGTAAGCAGTACCAAAGCAACTTTTTATTTTTTTAAAAAATGATTTTTTAAAACTAATTTGTCCATGCCATTTTGCTGCTCTCCTCAGGAGTACTCTCATCAAATAAGATCCCATGGTTTGTAGGCATCCAAGATGGTGGCTCCTATACTCTTCACCCTCAAGCGAGCAATGATACTCCAATGGCTTTCTACACTTCAAGTACCTCCAGGAATGATGGGGTGGTGCAGCTGAGCTACCTTCCTGAGAGCACTGTCACTGCTGCTTACTTGGACAGGCACTATGGCGGCGAGATCAGGGCTGTGTGGGCACACTGGTGGAAGTACCGAATTGGTTCTGCTGGTGCACCCTCATTGCCCCAACCTTACTGCCCCCCCAGCTCCACCCACACATGATCCAGGTAAGTAGCAGCGCCACTGCTGTCAGGAGGGTAGGTGCACATCACCACCCCACCAATCCAGCTGCTCTGGAGCATCACTGCTGCTGCCGTCAATGATGTGATCAGCTTTTCAATTACTAGAGGAATCATGGGCTGGCAGCAGCATGTCAGCAGCTGCTGCAGCCTCCATAGAATTGGGATGCCCAAGGGCTTGTTCCAGTTTCTCCACAGAGCACTGTGAGTGCTGCCAGAAAAGTTTTTTTCTGAATGTGTAAACCATCTAGTGCAACCTGTGCTTGAGAGAGGGATTCCAGTGCTAGAGCATCGCCAGCAGGTGCTATCCAGTCACTGCTTGAAGATCGCCAATGAGTTAGAGCCCTGATACCACTGCCCCAAGCTAGGTGATTTGTTCCATTATTGAGCTGTTCTTATTATTAAGAAATGACTTCTAATGTTCAACCAAAACCTCCTGTAACAAAGGCTGGTTCGTTATTGGCATAGCTTCTGAAGCACAGAGCATTAATTTTTTCCCTTCTTTATGGAACAGCCATTCAGATATGGGAAGAGTGGTACTAAGTCACCACCTGAGCTGGACCAGCCATTAGGCAGGGTGAGGCTGCTGCTTCAGGTGGCAAAAGCCTCCTAGCTGGCACGCCCCTGGGAGCCCTGCCTGCCCTGCTGCCTCTGCCAGTGGTGCTGATTTTGGGCAAGATTGCATTCCTTCTGGGTGAGATCTCACCCCAAAGCAGTGTTCATGGCAGTGGCAGGGCAGGCAGCAGCAGGAAGAGGTAGGTGGTGGTGGAAGCTGCAGCAACAGTAGGGCAAAGCAGCAATTCCCATTTCCTCTCAAGCTGCAGAATGGGAAACACCACTCCAGTCTCCACTTGGCACTGCACCTCTCTTACCAGTGTTGCATGGCATCAGCTTTGGTGCCACTTCTCCACTGCCAGCAGAGGTGGGACGGGTGATGGAGGCGAGGCAGGCACCATCTCCTGGGCTTCTGCCACTTGAGGCAGACACCTCACCTTGCCGCACTGGTGGGTCAGGCCTGCCAACATCCCTCATAAAGTGCCCTCCTCAAAATTGGGCACAGTACTGCTGATGAGGTCTGAGTAGTGCAGAGCAAATAGAATTACTACTTCTTGGGATTTGGAAACAATGGTTCTATTAACAGCCTAAAACTACATTAGCCCTTTGCAGCAGCTACAACAAAAAGCTGGCCCAAGCTCAGATTGATTTTTAGAGGCAAGTTCATTCAAAATACGGTTGGCAGGTTTGTGTGGGGGTGCCAAAAAGTCCCCCCAAAGAGAGACATTTTCAGCTAAGTGAAAAAGAAATGGGGGTGGGTGGGAATTAATAAATAGAGTACAATCAATTTCTTCCTAGATCAGCCGGTCTGAGCAAATGTGTGAGACTGGAGCTCCATGATCAGACTCCATGTTTGAAGATACTTTCCACAACCAAGAATACTTGCCTGTGTTGTTTCTGTTGTAGCACTGAACAATGCATGAGGGAGACCTGTGATTACTGTAAGTAAAGTATTTAAACTTACTCAAGTTTGTAGTCCAATCACTCTGAAAGGGGTAGAGGTGGGGGAGAACTGTAAGCACTTAATATTGGGACATTTAAAGGTCTAACAACCTATATTTTCCACACGTTGCTAATGCTGCATAGATCTGGTAGTCCAGGAGGGGGTGGAGCAGGAAGACCTTGCTAGTCACCTGAAAAAGCAGAGCTTAAGCAAGGGGTAGAGGATGGGCTACCCCTGACCTTAGGCAAGGTTGGCTAATCCCTAGATATGTTATTGGTTACATCTCACACTTTGATCCCCCTATACAGATTGGGTTTGGGTTTAAATATTCAACTACTTTTTGAGTCTTGCCTGTTTGGTTGCAACACCTAGCTAGGAAAACCAATGATTTGATTCAGTATGAGATAGCTTTCTATGTCTCTGTGTTCCTACTTGATGACGACCACCAACTGAGGTCACATCCACACTGTACATTAAAGGCACATGTTTACCACTTTAACTGTCATGACTCCCACCAAGTAATTCTGGGAACTGTAGTTTGTTAAGAGCACTGATCTCACAGACCTGCAACAAACTACATTTCCTTGGATTTCCAATGGCTGTGAAAGTGCTATAAGAGCATTTTAATTGTGCAGTATAGATGTGGCCTGAGCTGTGGCTTTAAAATAGGGTTAGACAAATGCATGGAGAATAAGGCTATGGGACACTGAGCTGGACAGGAATTTAGTCTGATCCAGCTTAGTTCTTTGTATGTTCTTAATACATGATAAGGAAATGCTGTTAGTACAAAAGACATCTAATTGAGGGTAACAAGCTACTTTGATCTGTACAAATGAAAGGCGTGATCCACCCTAAGTCAAGCACACACTCTTAATTCTCCCATTGAGATCAAGAAGTAAAAAAGAGTTTTAGGACTGGGTGATGGCCTAAAAGGTATGACTTGAAAATCCAAGCATGGGAGATATAAGCAGCAGGCCAAATCACAGTTCCAGGTCACAAAAT